GTTGGGAGGGTTGGGGAGGTGGTGGTGGATCTGGGAGAAAAATGTCTGACTAAAGGAAGGAAGGGAGGGGGAGGGCAGAAGGGAGGGAGGGAGGGAGGGAGGGAAGGAGGGCATAGCCCACAGATGGCAGGGAACACAAGTAACTTGCCCTTCTCTTTAGAATCCAACAGCACTTCAACTCTATTACCATCCTTTGATGGTCATAATGCCTCAAAAAATCTGTACTCTTATTATAAAATGTATCAAAGTTAGCTCTTTGGATTAGCCTCCCATGCATGTAAGACATTAGATTCTAATACTAAACATACAGTCAGCCTTTCAAGTTGTTTTTTCACCCTGCCTTCAGTTTGCAAGGCATGACTTGATCCCATTTGAGGGTTCAATCTCCCAACAGGATGTCAATCATTTTGAAAGGGACTGCTCCTACAGGACGTGGCCACATCCCTTGTGTGGCATTGATAGGGACTGACTGGGGAGCTATACTGTGGAAGAATGTTTGGCAGTGCCTCAAAAAGTTAAACACAGAATTACCATATGGTCTTAATCCCATGGCTAGGTATGTACTCACGAGAGTTAGAAAGATTTCCTGGAATGAGTATAGGTATGCACATGCACACAGAAGCATTAAGGATAGTCAAGAAGAGATGCGGTTAGCCAAATGCCCATCAACAGATGTGTAGATTATCAAATTAGGATGATCCAGCATAAAGAACAAAAAAGTAGCACTACATGATAAAATGCAGTGAATTTCAGGAACACTGTAAAGCAGTGGTTCTCAGACTTGTGACCCTTTCCTACAGTTCCTCATGCTGTGGTGACCCCCCACCACAAAATTATTTCATTGCTATTTCATAACTGCAATTTTGCTACTGTTATGAATCATAATATAAGAATTTGATAGGCAGAATAACTGATACATGACCTCTGTGAAAGGGTCATTTGACCCCAAGGGGGTTGCACTCCACAGGTTGAGAACCACTGCTGTGAAGCAAATCATGTAAGATATAAAACACTATACACATGACTCCAGTCATAAAGATATCCCCAACAGGTAAGTGTATAGCAACGGAATGCACACGGTGGTGGGCATGGGGTGAGTAGAATAGCACAGAGCTCTAATGAACCCAGGTTCCTGGCATTCTGATGATTTCATTGTGCAGCAGGGTCAAAAAAGACACATGCTTGTATCTTTATATCCAAAATATAATATTTCAGGTAAATACTGTATTTTTGTTCAAAATATGATTTGAATTTTGAGAGTTGCTTCTTGGGCATATTGATCAAAACATTTAACATAGCACCTGGTGTTTGGAGAGAGAGTTAGAAAGGGGGAAACCAAGTTTGATTGAAGCATCACAGGGCCTTTATCAGACACTTCAGTGGCACCTCTGGCTGCTCCAGGACGTAGGTACAGCTCTACATAGAACCAGGATAGAGAGATGGAGGAAGTCCCATGATATTATGGGGAGCCACCATCTGTGAAAGGATAAAGTGTAGATCAGTCAATCATGTTCAGGCATATGTGTGAATTAGAATCCCTAGGACCAGGACCCAAAGAAAGGGTCAGGTCCTGTCAAACCGAGGAGTCAGACAAGACCATGCACACAAGGTGGGTCCAGGAGCCCTGGGAAAGACGGTCTTTTATGGTGGGACAATTCCTACCTCTAAGGTGTTGCGGAGATTCCATGAGCTCTTGTCTGTAAAGCCCTGACATGGTGGGTGCCCCATGTAAGCACTTGAGAAATGGTACCTTTTATTTTTTATTTTTACTGATATCATCACTCTCTGTCCCAGGCAGGATAGACTCCAACTCACTGGCTGTTCCCTTCCATCCTGGGTAGTCAGTGTCCCCAGAGCTGACTCCTAACCACCCAGTGATTTTCCCCAGCACAGCCTAATACTATTGTTCTCTACCATTGTTCCATCCAGATCCTAGCTTCTGAGAGACTTAAGAACATTTTTAACTAGCAGAATTTACTGGCACAAGTTGATCATAAACTCGACAGACAGAAGAACCAAAGAGATGCATCTTTTTAGGGATAAACAATCTAATTGTAGTCTCATTTCATTCACTCCCTTGAACACACTTTTATTTTGATAATGCAAATAGATGAATTTTACTGTAATATTGAAATTTTATTTTCTTATTAAAGTTGTTTTTTGAGATGTTCTAAAGGACACATTCCAAGAAGCAGGAGTGTAATTATAGACTTAGCCTCACTGGATGACCTGACAGAAGTCTGCCATCACTTAGGGAGCCATTGCAGTATATATTTAATGTCAGCTTGACTGAGAAAAACACTTTCCCAGGTTCTCTTTGATTGACACTTTTGAAATGACATCAGTTGCCAGCTTTAAAACCTACTGTTATTAGGTCTCTGTTGCTATTTATGTTAGAAATATGTGCACGTGTGTCAAAACAATGTATCAACTTTGCTGATTGGCTGCATCTAGATTCTGTTGCCGGGGTAACAGAACAATTGCTTTTAATCTTTCCTAAATTGCTTCTTGGTTGTTGTTTTTTTTTTTTTTTTTAATACTTGATGTTTTGGGGATTTTTTTTTCACCCGGGAGCAAAAATAAAGAAATGTTATCTAGGGAGAAAACAAATACATATTGTCTATATGTGTTTGAAAGGAAATTAAAACAAAAGCCACACACAGTTGGTGTGTGTCTCACCTGCATAGCAGTCCATCCCAGTGCTGAGATGGCCTCATCCTCTGCAGGCTGGGTCGTCAGGAAACGACCACCTTCATCCCACATGGTACAGCACACAGATGTTTGCCCTTCAGGTCCAAGGTTTCCTTTCCTTTGTTCAAAGACCAGCTTCGTTCATTCTTCCCCGAGAGGCTGGAATGGCTGTGGAGGAAAACAACATCTTCAAAACATCTTTTGTCTTCGTTTCCACCTTGCTGACATCACAGAGGGTTACTGGTTATGAATCCCAGTGCTAGCCCTTGCACTTTGAAAAGTTCGACAAAACTGATCCCCGCGCTGACATATGGACGTAGTAATGTGCCTGTAAGTTAACCAGACTTCCTGCATAATCTTCCCGCTCTATCGTGAAAGCTTTCAGATTTCACTGGTGTTTATTACCAAAGTCCTTGACATCACCCATAGAAACTTGGGTTGATTGGGCCTGCTGGGGGCCAGGGAATTTTCACTTTAAGCCGTGATTCTAAGACAGGCAGTCCAAAAAGAAATCATTATCCTACTTTGTCCTGATGCCATAGGCTATCAACAAAAAATCTCCTGCCAGGTGTGGGATGCTTCCCTGTGAGCTGTCTGTCAGGGAGGTCCTGTTTCTCAAAGCAATAGAAACTGTTGCCAAGAAATGGGTATCCACCGGAACTCAAGGAAGACCTTATTGCTGAAGACACTACATACTTGGATCCAGCTTACACTGACCTGGAAGCCTCATTCGCAGTATTAGAAGGCGTTGTGTCAGCTGCTAGGGAAGAAAAGTTGTCACTAGTCCTACCTAGCTGTGAACCCTGTGGACTACAACAACAAGCCACCTGGAAAGACATGCCCGTGGGTGCAATACTGACATGAACTGGGAGAAAACAAGACAAGAGTTTTGTGACCTTAGTTTCCTCAAAAACATGGAATTGTTCCTGGAATGTGCTTTCTTGCCCCTCCCAGGAGTAGCATATAGGAGTAAGTTCACTTTCTTCATTACAACTGGCCGTTGTTATTTGTTTACATGCCTCTATGGAAAAACATGTTTGGCCACATGCGGCTTGTCCACCATGTGTGGCTTGCCCTTGTGACTGGACACTTTACTCACGTGACAATTAATCCTCAGTGTATAAATTGTCTGATGCTCTAAATAAAGTGGACTATAGTGTGACTCCACCTCATTTTTAGGCTCCACTGTCCTGGGTTCACACCACCAACTAGAGTGATAAAAAATGAACATTATAAGGTTAATTGTTTCCTAAAGGGGTATAAGGTCTATCTCACAGGATATAGCTCATGCCTGGTCCTGTAAACATCGTCGAGAACCCATGGCTGGGGAGGCCATAGGTCCTCAGGGAGAATCTGCTACTATTATTTTGCTAAATGGACAGTATGAGATGGCCTTCTAAATGCTAATCTGTTGACCCATAGATCAGCACAGCTCTCAGCCCTCAGCACAGAGGCTTCTTTTCACTGTGGACAGCAAGTAATTCAGAGATTCACAGCTGTACAGAGTGCAAAGAACTAGTAACTGTGGCGTGCTCAGGCATAAATGGGGCCTCTTTTTTCACACACCATCCCGACATGGTTCAGAGAACCTTGCAGAAGATGGGGTAAAAAGAATGTGAAAGCTGTAGATTGTGGGGAGTGCTGCAGAGCAATGTCTTCTGAATGTGACAGAGTCATTGTGCTCACAAACTCCCAGAAGCTGTGGATGTCTGTGTAAGAGAGGTACAAATTCAAGCTGCTCAACACCACAGCATAGATAGGAAGCCGGTGGTTACAAAGCAACCAAGGCCCCACCTGAGGAGCCTTGATAGCTAAAGACTACTGGGTCAGGAAGAGCCTGTCTCCTTCAGGGAAGTGTCCATGCTTCCGTAGACAGCCCTACACCCAACAACCATGGCCAGTGCTGACTGGACTCAATGGGGTACAGAAAAAGGACATAAAGTTAGGAGGGGTTATGGTATTGGATTTGGAAAGAGTTGCATGGGAAGTGGTGAGGTGATATGATTAAATACATTGTGTGTGTGTGTGTGTGTGTGTGTGTGTGTGTGTGTGTGTGTGTATATATAAATTTATTATTCAAACTACCACATTCTCCCACAGAACCACTGAGCAAGGCACATCATCTCTTACATGAAACATTAAACACACACAGTTTCTCACAATGTCCTGTCTGCCAGCCCTGATATCTTAAAAATCTAATAAAAAAATAACCCAAAATAAACTCAGCTCAGTGGCTTCATATATCAATTTTACCTAAACTTAATGTTTTTAAGACAGTGAACATGTTTTTGGATGTATAAGACTTCAAGCTCCCATCTGCCATCCTCCTTTGAATGATTTATGCATTGGAGTTTTTGCTGTTGGAAGGCGGCGGCGGCGGTGGAGGGGGATTAGAAAAGTGGATACCTAAAGGAATGGGTTGAATTGTATTCCCTCAAAGTTCATATTGAAGCTCTAACCTCAGGACCCAAGACTGCCACTTTTCGGGAGACAGGATGCCTGTAGGTGTAACTGGGTAAAAGGAAAATCTCTAGAATGGGCCCAATCCAATTAATTGGCACCTTTGTAAAAAGGAAGCATTTGGACAGGCAGGCCAAGTGTAAACATGGGGAGGGCAGCACACAACTCAGGAAGGGGGCCACGGGGAGTATGTCCTTCCCTTATGCCCCAAGAAGATTCCACACTGTAGGGCTTGACTCTGGACTTGTTAAAACTGGGGCAGAATAAGGTTTCCACTCAGCCACCCAGTTCCTGCAACTTAGCAAACAAATATACCTGAAATGGAATTGACCTGGATCTAAGATACTCTCCTTTGTGAGCTCAGACTTCTCTCTGTGGCTAACCGCTTACAGAGTCAGTATTCCATCAAATGTATGCCTATAACCCTGGCCACTGGGTCCTTCAAACCCAAACTGTGACTCTGGTAATCCAGGCCCTTCCTGGACAAGGATAAAGCCCATGATTCCTATTCACAGCAGCATTCGGACATGTTAGCAGACGGAACTGAACACAGAATAACCTGTTTAAGGATGGTGGGGGTATGTACGTTATAAAAAAGACACAATGGCAGAGGCTGGGGTTGTGGGCAGTGTCGTGGTGGCCGTTCTGCTGGAGCGGTAGTGAAAGTACTCTTGGGGAGCTTCCCAGAGCAGCACCCCGGGAATCAGATTGGTCAGAAATGGTTGTTTGCGACACCAGATATGTCTTCTACGTCGCCTCAAAGTCCCTTCTACCGCCTTCCCAGAGATGCCTTTTATGGTACAACACTGGTCCTGGGCTGGCAAATCTCAGTGCCAAGTTCAGACGCAGACAGTTTCAGAGGGAGTGTTCTGATGGGAGGCAGGGTCAAAAAAGCAGGGGATTGGGTTAGAAATTTCCAAACAAAAGAAGGCTATCAGCAGCGAGGTAGCCCATGTGAAGAGCTGTGAAGACGAAAGAGGAAAGCCTATGGCCCCTGGCTTCCCAAGGCCTAGGCAAAAGAAAGCAACAAAATCAGTGTGACAATTAAACATAATAATAACATGCTTTTAAATTATAATGTGAGGGGTTCAACAGAGTAAAGACCACTTACGTATCCAACAGAGGTGTAAAAAGAAATGTCAGCCTGGGAAGAAAAATAATTTGTCTCATAAAGAAGGAAGAGATGGAAAACACAGGAAACATCTGCCCTGCCTCACAGCCTTGCAGCAGGCACAGGCTTTCCATACCTCCAGATGTGGCCTGGGAGTGCAGGGCTCCATCAGGCTTCCAAGTGGCACAGTGTCACCATGCCAGCAAGACAGTGGCAGAGCTGGACAGTCTATGTCGACCTCCACTACTGACATGTAAGCAAGTCAAAGGGGTTGACTGGACACTGACCTCTTCCTCCCCCCAAACAAAAGTGACCCAAGACAGCTGGATGCACCGTTCCCCTATCTGCAGATAACAGACAACAGACCCCCCCACCTGGAGGCCTTTTCCCAATCCTTCTCTTTTGTTACTTGTTACGGCTCATTGGAGAAAGATCTCAAATATATTTTTTGGAAACAAGAAGGCAGCTCCATTTTTTCTAATTTCTTGACTTCATTTCCTCTCCTGTTTGCTGTGGGATGTTCTGTATGTCCTGTGGGAGCCCGTTCTAGGGTTCCTGGTGGCTTTACCCAGCAGGTCTGTATAGAGGATGATTAGGACCATGGGCCTGAGTGCAGGTGTCTGAGATGGTCTGCACTTGGCTGTGCTGGGGCATGGTCTGTATGTCAAGTTGCTCTGATTGGTCAATAAATAAAACCTGATTGGCCGTGGCTGGGCAGGAAGTATAGGCAGGACTAACAGAGAGGAGAAATAAAAGAACAGGAAGGCAGAAGGAGTCACTGCCAGCCGCCCACCAGGACAAGCAGCATGTGAAGATGCCAGTAAGCCATGAGCCACGTGGCAAGGTATAGATTTATGGAAATGGATTAATTTAAGCTATAAGAACAGTTAGCAAGAAGCCTGCCACGGCCATACAGTTTATAAGCAAAATAAGTCTCTGTGTTTACTTGGTTGGGTCTGAGCGGCTGTGGAAATGGAGGGTGACAAAGATTTGTCCTGACTGTGGGCAAGGCAGGAAAACTCTAGCTACACCTGTTGGTCAATCATATTACATCTCCCTCTTCCTCCTGCTCTGCTCTCCCTTCGTCCCTCACCATTCTGTACACGGCCTCACACAGGACAGTTTAATCTGCCTCTGTTTTATGATTGTGGGTCACCATATCCACACGACCCAGTCCAGGCTTCCTAGGAGGACTGGAGTTAGTCAGCGTGCACCAGAGGCTGGGGCAGAGTTCAGGTGTCACAAGTAGGAACTACTCCAGCCCAGGACCGAACACTATTCTTTCCATTTTACCGCTCACGGTGAGATGGTCTCTCCATTCTCATTTCTTCAGATCCATGCTTCCTGGGGTGCTCTCTGCTGGGCTCATCTTCATCACCTGTTATATGTCTATGCTGTGGCTCAAAGCCTTCCCACAGGCACAGAGTTAATCCTACAGGATGGAATCAAGCCCCTGACAGAGGGAGGCCATGTTCTCAGCTGACCCTCCTGCCATCCCTAGGGCTGCCCTAGAGAGGCTTTAATCAGAGCCACTTTCCTCATTAAACGCTCAGTACCTACTGGTACCTGGGTGATGAGTGAACAAATGTCCCTGATGGCTACTTAATAGCCCATCCTCGATCCTGTTCTGCCTTCTTGAGACCAACACTAGTGTGAGCCCCTAAGCCTTGTGGCTCAGCCCGATAACAAATAACCTAGCCTTCCTGGACTCTTGAGAGGAGGGTGCTGTCATTGAAGGGAATGGCAAGCACTGTGGTTCAAATCCTGGATCCGCCTCTAGGACCTCCCTCTGCTTTCTGCTTCTTTGATGATGAAATGGAATAACACTGTACAAGAGTTTATTATCTTAAGAGCTAAAAAGATAGACTACTGTTTCTAGTGCTGTTGTAGAAACATTGCTACAGTAAGTCTAACTCCTCTTTGCTTGCTGTGGACAAATCTTTTATCTCAGCACTGTAAAGATTACACATTAGAAAATATGAGAAAAACTGATGGGAAGTATTCAAAGCCACTTATTTTGTCATGGAGCCTGTGAGGGGTGAAGCGTGGTGAAGACCATATGATTCTGTGTGTATACACAGACTTGCTCAGGCAAGACAGACAGACTAGATTCAAAATAGAGCCACTGGAACAGGGCAGGAAAATCGCCTAACAAGTGAATTGCAAATGAGTCTAGACACTTGAACCCATCAGTTACTGTTGATTTGCTGTGAATAAAATGCTTGCCTAACAACTGAAGGTGGGAAGTCTGTGGTTTGAAGTCCAGCTTTCCCTCCGTTAGAGCAGGGAAGGGGTTGCAGTAGGAGCTTGTTGGGGGTTCTCCTCACGCCATGGTGGATGAGGGAGCAACAAACATCTCAGGACCAACACTAGGT